AAAAAAACATTTTCATATGTTTTGATCAATTTTGTACATAAAAATATTAAAACTAATGGCATCAAAATATGCTTGATCAAAATTTAACTTTATTATATTTATGTATAATGCATATCATTTTTGTAAGTTTATAAATATTAGAAATCATAAATTTTGTCAACACATTTAAATATTAAAATCGATTAAAAGAGATATTTTATTATTTAATCTCACGCTTGGCGTGGGTCAAAATCTAATATATTATACATTTATACGTAATCTAAAACATTTGATAAATCATGCTTTAATTGAATTTTCCGTTTGGAAAGAAGATCATATAATTCATGTTCAACCTCATGGTAACAAAGTCGGTGAAAAAAAATAATCCGCATATTCTAAAATGTCTAACAAGCGGATTATGGAAAGCTAAGATCTTACTTCGAGTTTAGGTTGAATTTGTATCCATGAGGTTGATAAGAATAATAGTGTATTTACAGTGTTATAAGTCTATCACCTCGTCATTCAAAGATGGAGTCTATCACCTCGTCATTCATATAATTCATGAATCTGTAAATATAAGTCTGTTTTTATTCTTTCTTTTTTTTCCAAGATTATTTTTTTTCCAAAACTTCAGTTTCTAAATGATATTTACAGTTTAGCAAAAAAAAAAAAAGTTTATGTATACACATGTATGAAGAAAATTACTAAAATTAACACCATGTTTATTTTTTATATTTTTATAAAGATCATAATGTTTAATCTTTTTCTTCAGTCAAAAAGAAGATAATAACGTGTCTAAATAATCACTTCCCAAATCCTCAAACTCAAACATACCAAACACATCACATAATGTTTCTTCTCCACTAACCATCTTCTTCATCTCAACATCTTGAAACATACAATCTTCATCACTCATTTGTCTCTTTCTTGAACCTAACCAAGTTTCTTCAATCCCACGCAATCCACAAGTCTTCGAGTACTCTTTAGTTAAACAACAACAACTTGGGACACAACGGTTTTCAAACATCCCATCAACGACTTTATCACATGCCCTAATAATATCCTCTTTTCCAGTTTTCAATTCAATTTCGCAGCGGTTTCTTAACGGTTGAGACATAATTGAGCTGTTCATCAGGTAGTAACTCGTGGCGCAATCCATTTCCATCGCTTTTATAACCGTCTCGAGTTGAAAATTTGTGTGAGCTTTTTGAGTTCCTCTAATTCTAACCGCGGCTTTATCATAAGCCATAGCTGCTTCTTCTGCGGTCTGAAACGTCCCGAGCCAAACCCTAACTCCGTTTCTCGTCGAATCTCTGATTTCCGCTGCGAATTTCCCCCACGGACGCCTCCGTACTCCCCTGTATTTTCTTCTTTTGCAAGAAACCGGAGAAGACAAAGAACATGAACCGTTAGGGTTCGTTAATGTGTCATGATTGGTTTTGCTTGGGAAAGAAGCAATCATGTCGAGAATCTCTGTCCATTCATTGGCCTCCATCGACATATCTAGGCTTAGAAGCCTTTCTTTTGAACCTTCTGGAATGTCATCAAGGGTAGGCAATGCTTCCCAAGTTCTAGAAACTTCTTGAACAGGGATTGATCTTTCATTGGTTTGATCTGGTTTTCTGATGAAATTTTCCCAAACATTCTTTAGAATCTCATCGTTTGGTTCTTGGTTATTGCCAAAAGCCATTGTTGAATCAGAGAGGAGTGCGTGTTGGTGTGATTTAGGGCATGTTAAAGAGAAGGTTTGCTTTGAGGGTTTTATGTGTGCGTTGAATGGGAAATCTGCGGCACGATAATTGGGAAGTACAGTTGGTGAAACTTGTGTTACAAGTTACTGACCACCCTCATTTCATGGAGGGTTTTAGGTTCCACGGGCATTTTTTCTTTATGTGTGTATTACACACACACACGTACGTAGAACGTGTCATTATGAATAATATATGTGTACATAA